CCACGAAAGCTTATGCTCTAATAAATTTGTTAGTCTCTAAGGTGCACAAGTACTCCTGTTCTTTTTACAGATACAGACTAACACGGCTGCTACTCTGAAACCTATGAAATATCAGTGACCCAATTTTGACTCATTCCAATTTATGGAGATAAGCAAAGAAGAGGAAAATATCCAACTCTCCCCTTCTTCTCTTTCTGGATCACTGTCAGTTTTGTTTAAGCTTTATTCCCCTATACTTCAGAAAACACAAGACAGAATAATGTCTCCCTTTTCGTGAGACAAGATGGGTAAGGTAATATCTTTTATTGGACCAGCTTCTACTGGTGATAGAGACAAGCTTTGGGGCTACACCAGTGGCTCTCAAACTTTTTTTTACTTGTGACCCCTTTCACACAGCAAGTCTCTGAGTACAACCCCCCTTATAAATTGAAAACACTTCTAAATATATTTAACACCATTATAAATGCTGGAGGCAAAGCGGGGTTTGGGGTGGAGGTTGACAGATCGTGACCCCACATGTAATAACCTCACAACCCCCTGAGGGGACCCGACCCCCAGTTTGAGAACCCCTGGGCTACACAGAGCTCTTCCTCAGGTCTGGGAAAAGAATTCAGTGACACAGCTAAAAACAAGATGGAACAGATAGTTTAGCATAAGTAGTTAGCGCATATTCAAGGAACCATTCAAGGTGAAGGTTTCAGAGTAGCAGCCCTGTTAGTCTGTATCCGCAAAAAGAAGAACAGGAGTACTTGTGGCACCTTAGAGACTAACAAATTTATTAGAGCATAAGCTTTCGTGGACTACAGCCCACTTCTTCGGATGGGCTGTAGTCCACGAAAGCTTATGCTCTAATAAATTTGTTAGTCTCTAAGGTGCCACAAGTCCTCCTGTTCTTCTCTCCTTAGTGTGTATGGTAACACCCATTGTTTCAGAGAGAGAGGGGTGTGTGTGGGGTGTGTGTGTGTGTACACTGTATTTTCCACTACATGCATCCGATGAAGTGGGCTGTAGCCCACAAAAGCTTATGCTCAAATAAATTTGTTAGTCTAAGGTGCCACAGTGGGGGAGGGATAGCTCCGTGGTTTGAGCATTGGCCTGCTAAACCCAGGGTTGTGAGTTCAATCCTTGAGGGAGGCCATTTAGGGATGGGGGGGAAAAAAAAATCTGTCTGGGGATTGGGTCCTGCTTTGAGCAGGGGGTTGGACTAGATGACCTCCTGAGGTCCCTTCCAACCTTGATATTCTATGATTCTACTCCTGTTCTTTTTGCGGATACAGACTAACATGGCTGCTACTCTGAAACACTGAGGACTAGTCATATGATCTTTAATTGAGCTGATTTGGTCCTACATTCACTAGCTGTGAACTGTTTCCAACACCACCTGAGGCAGCCTAGGAAGTCCTTATTACTGACAACTATTGTCAGCAGCTATATCTGGGTCTAACTATTATTAGAGACACAAGGTGGGTGAGATAATACATTTTATTGGACCAACTTCTGTTGGTTTTAAAGACAAGCTCTGTGTGGCTTGAAAGTTTGTCTCTCACAAACAGAAGTTGGTCTAATAAAAGATATTACCTCACCCACCTTGTCTTTCTACTATCCTGGGATTGTCACAGCTGCAACAATACTCCATGCAACTGTTGCTGACAACAATGGCTACAGAGGTCAGTAGAAAGATTCCTATGACCTTAATGAGACGAGAGTGAGAAACTGACATTAGAAGCTCAATTTGGATACATATTGCATTGTCACTGCATTACTAGATCAACCATGTGTATAGAAGTTGTTCTAGGACTATACTTGATTTTGTGAAAGTTTAATATTTGGTGTTATCATATTGCTGCTGAACAGAAAAGCTTAAGGGTGTATCTTAATGGGAGTCTTTACATTGACTTCCCTGGGCTTTGTCTCAGATGCAAGATAAGAATAAAAATAAAAATATCCAGTAAATCACCATTACTAACTGCTTTTTGGAATAGCTAGTCCTAGAACCCACAAGGAGAGGGGCAATTCTTGATTTAGTACTAAATGGTGCACAAGATCTGGTCCAAGAGGTGAATATAGCTGAACCACTCGGTAATAATGACCATAATGTATTTAAATTTAACATCCTGGGGGGGGGGGGGAGAGGGAAGGGGGAATACCCAAGAAATCCACCACAGTAGCATTTAACTTCAAAAAGAGGAACTACACAAAAGTGAGGAGGCTAGTTAAACTGAAATTGATATACCTGTATAATAAATTAAGGTGTGTGTGTGTGGGGGGGTGGGGGGGGGGGTAGGCTTCTTTTGATGGACACCCAGCCAGTTAG